TAGTGTATATAGTGTTTTATTTTAATATTTGTTCATTCAATTTCTTGAATGCTACTGCTAAATGCTGTACCTGAAAAATAAAATGTTGTAAATACTGCTAAATACTGTACCTGAAAAATGTTCTTATTTTCTAATAACAAAGATAAAATAATGACAAAGATTTTTATCGTTGCTAACTTTGCCTTAATGTCTGCCATTGTTTTTTATTTTGTATTTTGTTAAGGTGTAAGAGGTGTTATGTTTCTGCACTCTTCCATTTTTAGCAAATTAAGAAAACTTTGTCTAAAACAATTTTTGTGATGGTTTGTATTTTTTTGTGCTCTGTATGGAACATCGGTGCCTGTTTAAGTGATGAACTCCATTACTTGTGTTTGTTTTCAGACATGATAACAGACGTTTTATACTTGTGCTACAACTTTTGGCCTGTGCTACAAAACTTTCAACCTCTGTAGCACCAGTGCTATGTGAAAAAAAAGTTAACGTACAGCCCTGGACAGTATGTTACAAATGAAGTATGTCCGAATTCACAGTACTCATCAAAGAGTAGGCAAAAAGTACCCCGATGCCCTACTACTTCTGGCGTGATTCTGAAGTGTGCATACGATGGACACTTTACTATCCCATGAGGCCACTGGAGAGGATTTATGAATAGCAGTGGCACAACGAAACTGATGCTAGTAGGTCGAGTGGCAATGACAACATGGCGAATGTAGTACATCCAGATTACATTCATACTATATAGAACATACTCATTTGGATGCATTTGCTTTTTCCCAGGTGATGAGGCTGCTCTGGTCTGTTTAGTCTGATTTGTAGAAGGTATAGTTATGCTTTTTCACATGTGTCAGGTTTTTGTACAGTGTTCTTGTGTTTCCTGTGACTGTGGGCCTCAGAGCACAGTAATACAGAGCAGAGTCTGATACTGCAGCAGAGGAGATGATCAGATCCACACGTTTGATCTCTTTTGTGGTTACAGTGTTCTTGTGTTTCCTGTGACTGTGGGCCTCAGAGCACAGTAATACAGAGCAGAGTCTGATACTGCAGCAGAGGAGATGATCAGATCCACACCTTTGATCTCTTTTGTGGTTTGTTTTTCTTTTCTGAGCTTCGTAGAGAACCTGGGATCTACATCAGATGTCTTAGTCTCTTTCACACTCTCTATTATGAGCACAAGAAATTGAGGAGCTGATCCGGGATACTGACGGTACCATTGAAGCGAGTTTGCAGAGGAATGGCTGCAGGATAAAATAACAGTTGAACCAACTGCAGCAGATTCCTCAGTGCTCTCGGGTGTGATTTCATCTCCAAAACTCACACCTGGAAGAGAGAGAGAGAGAGAGAGAGAGAGAGAGAGAGAGAGAGAGAGAGAGAGAGAGAGAGAGAGAGAGAGAGAAAAACGTAATTTTTAAATAGTAATGATATTGATTTATTAGTGATTTGAACATACAATAAGCAATACTAGTTATATAAAATATTAATGTTGCATTGTCATTGTGATATGAGATTTTAAATTTTAGTAGCAGAAAAAATTTACATTAAGGATGTAATAAGTTTATATTTTCAGTGAAAAAGTTAATTATGTAAGATGTGAAAATCATTTGACAAAATATTTTATGTATATTCTCAAATTAGAAATGCAAAGCTTTGTGACAGTTTAGCAAATGTAACAAGATCATCTCAGATCTATGTGCCAAACTCCTCCTCTTCCAGTCTGATGCCAACAAAAACCCCACTCATATCTACACGTTTTAAACCAAACATTACATTTAGACTAAATAAATGTGAGATCTGCTTATGCAGGTCCACAGACGATTATGAAGAGCATGCTATGGTGCATAGACCTTATGTAAAATTTAAATTTATAGTGATGAGCACTAAATAATTAAAAATTCTTATTCATTTTTTTTTTTATTATTATTGTCATGGGACAGAGGTCTGTTTTTGTGTTTCAGTTTTGAGTGTGTTTCACAATGAGCTGCATTTCAAAGTAGTACACAGCAGAGTCACACACACACACACACACACACACACACACACACACACACACACACATCCATGATTGTCACAGGAACTGATTTTGTTAACATTTCAGAGTGACATTTCTCCTGAAATAGAGTGTCATTATCTTCTGCTATATATTATAAGGCACCTTGATCATGCAGGTTTGCACTGCACAACTGGTAAATGAATTAATTTCCTAAACATGCATGTAAATGCTATCAAAGATCCAGACATTTATAACCCTGGCTTAATTATTTTTCATGTAAATACCTAAAAGCCAAATATCAGTTAATGCCACTTACTTTTTAACAACAACAGTAGAATCAGAGCACAAAGAATCATAATGTTTGCACTGTGAGAGGCAAATAAAGTTGAGTGATCATTTGCTCTTTTACAAATCTCCACAGACTCATCCTATCTCTCAGTGTAACTGCAGTGAATAAGTGAAAGAATATGAAAGCAATATACGAGTAGTTTACAGCACTACAGTTCTAATTTCTGGAATTGTGAAATGGATTTCAACTTGGTTAAAATGTGTTAAATAGAACTAAAAGGACTGCTACTGGTACCATTCCAATTCTGTGGAGCTTTATGCAGAGTTCTGTGCACACAGACTTTAAGTGGGCCATAAAAGTTTTTGTATGAGTGTTGAGTGTGTTTCAGTCACTGTGGGCCTCAGGGCACAGTAGTACACAGCAAAGTCAGACACACGCACATCCTTGATCATCAGTGGAAATGTTCTTGATGTGGAGTTCAATGTTGCAGAAAATTGCTTCGTAAAATCAGGCTCAGTGGTGTATTGATTTAGAATGAATGTTGGTGATCTGTTTGGTAGCTGTTTGTACCAGAAATGGTATGGAGCTGTAGAAGTAGTAGTATAATTACACATCAAAATAACTTGAGCTCCTTCACTTTCAGTTATTTCTCCTGGAGACTGTTCAACCCTGTCCTGTCCCGAGGACACTGGAAAAATAGACAGAAAAAAGTCATTAACAAATTTTTAGGTAAGTATACTTAAAATGTATTGACCTGAATGTATGTAAACCCTTTTCTTATTAAGCAGGCCTATACAGATGTGCTTACCATCATAATGTGCTGTGAAACACAGGGAAATCAAAGCCCATCTAAACATAATTGATCTATGAACAAACATTCACTCAACTGTGCTCTCAAAAGCTCTATGTTTATCCCATAGTGCTCTTCTTTAAAGGTTTGTATCATGTCACATGATACACTCATACATGGAGCGAGCAAGGCTGACCCCTTGTGGATGACGTTTAAATTGCGTAAAGTTACTTTGGGAACCATTTTTCACTAAATAATAATTAAACTGAAAATGTTTTTTGAAAACGTGCTTGAACCCCACTACTTGTCTCTCTCTATTAAGCCATTTAGTTACTGGAAATACCAATGGGCATAATGTACCTGTTTCTTCCTTTCAGTGTTAAAGTAAATGATCTGAAGAAGTTGTGCTTTGATTATGTATTGACCACATTTGTGTATGCGAATGAGTGATATCTGCCAAAAATTTTTAGACACTTTTCTACCTACTATAATCATGAATTTGCATTTCAAAAATGCTCAAAGTTGTGGTTCCTCTGGATGGGCGCAATACTTAGATATACCAGAGGGGGGTCTGAGTTGAATTACTGAAATAAATGAACTTTTCCACGACATTCTAATTTATTGAGATGCACCTGTAATTCAAGATTTAAGGGTCTGTAGAAGACCGTTGTTTCCTTTTAGAGTCAGGTTTTTGTACAGCGTACTTTTGTTTCCTGTCACTGTGGGCCTCAGCGCACAGTAGTACAGAGCAGAGTCTTTCAGAGCTGCAGAGGAGATCTTCAGATCCACATGATTTTGTTTTTCTTTTCTGATTTTAGAACTGAATCTTTGATCTACATCAGACGTCTGAGCTTGTTTTGCACTGTCTAAGATGAGCACAAGGAACTCAGGCGCTGATCTGGGATACTGACGGTACCAAAGTAAAGACCATGCAGATGAATAACTGCAGGATAATGTAACATTTGAACCCTCTGCAACAAACTCCACTGTTTTGTCTGGTGTAATAGTATCTCCGTTACTGGCACCTGCAAATAAATGTGAAATGTTAGTTTTGTCCTTTTAGTCTCAAAGGGGACTATACTGATAAAATGGAAGAATTGAAATAGTTCCTTTACTTTTAGTGCACTTTTATATAATAAGTCCCCGAATAATAAAATTATGCTTCATACAGTACATACTTAACTGCAATTATAAAGGTAATGCATTAAAAAAAAACAATGGTACTCACATGCTAAAGCAGAGAGCAGAATAACTGAATGAAGTATCATTGTGTTTGTGCTTACAGTCTCAGATTAAATGATTTTATGTCGGTTTCAACAACTACTGTCAGATATACTTTAAGCCCCTCCTTCCTCGCCACCTGGGAAAAAGCAAATGCATCTAAATTAACAATCCATGCATGCAATAATATATTGTGCTTTATAGAGGGGGTGTTAACCCTTGTGTTAACTAGCAGATATGGGGGGTGGATATGTGTGATGTAGATGCAATACTGTGAATCAGTTTTCTGCACTGTATTGTGGTGTTTCCTTTGACTCTGTTCTCCAGAGCACAGTAGTACAGAGCAGAGTCTGATACAGCAGCAGAGAAGATGATCAGATCCACACGTTTGATTTCTTTTGTAGCTTTTGAATACAGGCGAAGATCAGGCGAAGATCAGGCGAAGATTTACTTGAATATTCAGTTACAAAGAGTAAAAATTCTGGTTTTGCTCTGAGATACTTTTCACCCTCAAAAATATGTTTTCTAAAGTAAATGCTTGTATTGTATCAGTAGAAGAAGTTCTTGTGAAAAGGAAAAGTGCTTCAATTAATCAAGCTTTAAAGTGATTTAACCATCAGAATTTATACTGTCACAGGGATTTTTCTGTATTTATGTATTTTATGTATTTATTTTGACTGAAATAATCCTGGAAGGATCTCTTACCCATGCAAAGTTGGACTATTATCCAGGTAAAAAGTAACATGTTTGCAGAGACGATAGCTAAAATGGTTGTTCAATAACTATTTCACTCATCATCATCTCAAACTGTCAGCATCAGTGTGAATCTGCTCCTCCTACTGCTGGAGTGTTTTATTCTGTAATAATTGGACAAGATGTCTTTGTGGAAAGCTGAAGTATGATCTACAGTATGAATATCATAACAATATATGAATATCACAATAATATAATGTGGTATACCATTGTAAATACAGTATGTTTACTGATGTCACCGTGATGCCTTCAAGGAACAGTAGAACATTATTTATTTATCTATTAAAATATAAAATCACATAGATTATGTATATTTAGGGAAAGTATGTCAACAACTGCACATTTCAGAGCTCTTAGTTCTTGTCAGGATGTTTATGTGTTTCAGTCACTGTGGGCTGCAGAGCACAGTAGTAAACAGCAGAGTCAGACACACGCACATCCTGGATTGACAGAGAAACTGAGCTTGAGGATTTGTCGAGATCGGCATGAAATCTTTCCTCAAATTCTTTTTCACTGCTGCTTGACCCAGTTGAGAGTTTACGGAGCATGTAAACTGGGAGTCCGTTGGTTTTATGTTGGTACCAGTAAAGAGAAGGGTATGAATCACTGGTACTGTAAATGCAGTGAAGTTTAACCATCTCATGTTCTGAAACCGTTTGAACTCTTGTTGGCTGATTGACAGAATGTTGTGTATTGCACTCTGTCAGGAAATATAAAAAATGTAAATAAATCAGTTTTCAAGTAGGCTATACTCTGATATAAGGAATAATTCAAATTAAAAGCAAAATTGCTTTACCTAGAACGGCAGCAAATAGAAGTAAATTCCTCAGTCAGATTAACATAGTTTACATAAAGCGTATAAAAACTGCAAAGGCGGTATTACTGAAATATGATGATGATGATGAACATGAACCAGAGTTTTGATTTCACTGTGTGTGACTCTTTGTTTGCAAAGGTTAAACACACGTAGGAGGAGCTTGCATGTATAATAGGATACAATTCTGCCACAGTGTGACCATGTTGTGCAATTACATAACTTCCATTAGAACAAAAAAATATTTTGCAGTTTTTCCCTTTGACTTTTAATCTTTTTTGTAGCTACACTATTTTCAACATTTACTGTACATACTTAAAAGTTTAATTCTAAAGGTTAAAATGATCACCTTTAATTAAAAGAAGAGGAATTTGTTGAATAAACATAGATTAATTTTATGCTGTATTCATGCTTGAAATGAATGAAACATGAATTTTTTATGCTTCTTTTAAATTTTCCTGGTTTACTTGCATGCCTTCTGCACACAGGTGTTACCACATATTTGATTAAATTTTGGGCTGGATAGATTGTGGTTTTCACTAGATATTTTCAAAGTGAAAAGAACTTCAGGTTTTTGTATGACATGTCTCATGTTTTGTATCACTGGGCTCCTACTAACAGAGCACAGTAATAGAGAGCTGAATCTGACAGACGTACATCAGTAATAGTGAGTTCAGTGGATGTATCTGATGTAGTCGACTGAAACCGATTATCAGAGGTGTGTGCAGCACTCCATGATCGAGCACCTTTATACGCTAAAAACAAAGGTTCTCCATGTAGATTCTGTCTGTACCAGTAAAGCCGAATGTTATTGCTGGTTGCACTAAATGAGCAGCTCAGCTTGACAGTTTCTCTTTCTTGTGTGATAACATTTTTCTCTTTATCTGGCTCAATACTGTCCCCAGACACCAAACCTGTGAACAAAAAAAGCAGAATATAAACCAAACAAATGTCAAACACAAGACACAGCGCTCAAACAGATGACTACAATTATTTCAATAAGGATTTGAGGCTCCACTGTTTCATCGTTTACTCAGTAATTAATGTACCTATTCCCATAATAACAATAAGTAGAAAGCATCTGTCCATGTTAAATAAGATCTGCTCAGTTCTTTGTTGAGCCCTTCGATGTTCTGCACTATGAGACAATGAAACTCTTAAAGACACCCAGGAACTTCCTGCTCACTGTCACATGATGCTGTTTGCTTTGGATAAAAACTATTCAAATTATCACAAATTATCTATCTATCTGTCTGTCTCTCTGTCTGTCCATCCGTAAAATGTTCTTCTTCATTGACAGTAAACAATGTCATCTGTTCTGTATTTCAGAGATTATAGACATCATGTATTATGTGTATGTATTGTTATAAATTGTTTATATTCTATTATTTTATATTCTGTTTTTATTATATATACTGCATCAACCATGCAGCTGCAGCTTTTCTCCTTATGCATGGGAAAAAAAAAGATCCATGTGTGCATTTTCTGAAGAACATTTGACAACATTGCAGCCCTGTGGTAGAAATGTGCCTGCCCATTGTGATGATCATTTAACACTTTTTATAGCATATAGAACCTATTAAATTACTTGAAAAAAGTGGAGTGCATGCAGAGTGAAAGAAAGTACTGTATGTTGTGTGAATGTCATAATGTCAGTTTAAGACTGTTTGACTCACTGCATCAGCTCTATTCTTGCTCTCTCTCACTGGGTAAAGGGTTTTTGTAGGGAACCCAAATGTTTCCTGTGACTGTGGGCCTCAGAGCACAGTAGTACAGAGCAGAGTCTGATACGGCAGCAGAGGAGATCTTCAGATCCACATGCTTTTGTTCCCGTTTAATGAGTTTAACAGACAGTCTTGGATCTACATCAGACTTTTTGGTGTTTGTTGTACCATCGAGGATGAGCTCAAGAAATTCAGGAGCTGAACCGGGATACTGACGATACCAGTATAGATAATCCGCAGAGGAATAACTACAGGATAATGTAACATTTGAACCCTCCTCAGCAAAAAGCTCTGTTTCGTCTGGTGTGATGACGTTTCCAGAGACAGCAGCTGAAAAAGAAGAGGTACATATTTAATGAGATCTGTTTTAAATAAGCTAATCATTAACAATCGATAATAAATATATAAATATACACACATGCCAGACTGTAGAAGAGAAAAACTGAAAAGATATCCATTGTGCAGTGCACTGTGTTCTCTGGAAGACTGAATAGTTTCTTCTCCAGTCTGAATTGATTAGATCATGTCAGATCTTATGAGTCCCTCCTCTCTTCACTTCTGGAAAACAGAAGAAAGATCCAGTTACAATCTCCTGTTTTTCATGCACTATGAATGGATGTAATGTGTTATTATATGAAAATTGTTATTTGATTATTATTTGAACTTGAGCTCAATAGTAAAGAGCTAGATGTGAGAGCATAGTGTCTTTTTAGAATTTGTTATATACTTCTACAATATTGTCAGAGTTTTGTTATTTTAAGCATCGGTAATGTGAACGGCAGCAGAGGAGATCTTCAGATCCACATGCTTTTGTTCCCGTTTAATGAGTTTAACTGACAGTCTTGGATCTACATCAGACTTTTTGGTGTTTGTTGTACCATCGAGGATGAGCTCAAGAAATTCAGGAGCTGAATTAGCAAATGTTGACTTACATTTAAGTATTAAGTAAATGTCCTCTAGTTTTACCTTCTGTGTTGACAGAACTTGTAGTAAACAATTCCTCTTTCTTTTTGAATATGTTGTAGTTCACAGGAAAAATAAGATAACGGTTCTGGTTTTGCAAGCCGACTTTTCTATTTTATTTTAATATAAACTTTGTGAAACAAATGTCTTTTTTTTTGTGGATTTGCTCATAAAATGTCACACATATTTTGGTCTAATTTTGTAATGTTTTTATAGCACTAAGCCTGTGCAGTGGTCCTCAATGATGACCACAATGTCAGTAGTACACAGCAGAGTCAGACACACGCAGATTCTTGATCATCAGTGGAACTGTTTTTGATGTGGAGTCCAGTGTTGCTGAAAATCTTTCTTTAAATTCATCCTCAGTAGTTCCTTTACCAATTGTGAATTCACTCAGCATGAATGTTGGTGCTCTATTTGGTAGCTGTTTGTACCAGTAGAGATATGCATTTTTAGTTGTGGTAGAGTAATTGCACTGTAGTGTAATTGGATCTCCTTTATTTGCAGTCATTTCTCCTGAAGGCTGTTTAACTCTGTCTTGCCCCCAGCACACTGGAAAATAGATTTAACTATTTATAATTTACATAAGTAAGTAAGTAAGTATAAGTAACAAAAACAGTATCTGTAAAGTGTAATAAATGGTAATCTTTCTTACCCGAGTCCTGTGCTGAGAAGAAAAGCATAATCTCGTTCCCTACTCAGGGAACCATGGTTACATAAGTAACCTGAGACGTTTTTCCATTGTTGAGATTAATGTTTTGATGTGTATTCTAATGAATGTGTCTCTCTGTCATTACTGTAGCTCTCTGTTTCCTCTGTGCTGCTGTTCTCTTGATATTTAAACTAAAGTCTTGTCTAAATCTTCACATGGCACATTGTTGATGGCACTTTTGAGGGATGCTGCCCCCCAGTGCTGATTGTATTTATTACTAACAGATTCATTTTAAAGGGGTCATATGATGCTATTTTAAAGATCATTATTTTGTGTATTTGGTGTAACAGAATATGTTGA